TATGTGGAACATGCATAAGAAAATGGATGAACTATACAGGCTGTAAATCAGAGAAACTTGAAAATTGGACATTATACGAGGCAAGCGATCTAAAATATTTCCAACATGACCACACTTCCCGGTTATACAGGAAGTAGATATCAACTTGCTGATTTCAAATAGAACGCCCTGTATATTATTATATTTTTGAACTCTATTCCAAATTCTCAATATATTTCAGGTATAATATCCTATTCCTAAGTCTAACCGTTTTTGACATATATATTTGAAATTTTATATAAAAAATGAGCAAATAATGACACTAGAGAAGTTATTAATTTTCGCTACAAGCAATTACGTGTTATTTGATTTGAACAATAGTCCTTGTTGAAAAGGGCTTACTTTAATAGAATTTTCACAAAATTTTTATAACTGTTGATACAAAATGTTAAAAAATAAGTTTCAAAATGACCATGAGAAAACCGCCCAAAATCAATTTTTTAAATAAAAACCTTTGATTTTGGCAATTTGGCATTGTTTAGTATTAACAATAATAATTGTTTAGTATTAACAAATATGTATGTTAATTTCATATGGCTATTTTGCTGCGGATTTCTAATGCAGCCACTGATAATCAATAGTGCTAAATTATTAGGCCACTTTGTTATTTATTTTCAAAGACATTCCGACAATTTTATTTCCATCATATTGGGCATTGACACTGATTGAACTACGCGGAATGCGACTTACGGTTTTCGATTAAAATTCTCGAAATCCGATTGGTCAATGCGGCGAGTTTTGCATATTAAAGAGGCCATAAAGCGAGCACGTTCTTGAAGAAGAGGCTTCGCGAATGAAGATAAAGACCGGTCTTGGAATTTTCATTATAGACGTCATTTTCGCGTATATCAGCTTGTTGGTTTGTTTTCCTTTTAACGTCTGACCACGAAGTCGCTGGCAATGCGAGCTGTTTTGCAACCAGCAACCTGCAGGCAACGTAACATAATAACGAAAACCGCTTTATTTATCTAATAACAATAATAATGCCCGAACCAGTACCACAATTCTGATTGTAGACTAATTAATAGTTGTATCGGTACCCGGCGTTTTTCTGGGCGTAATGGTTGCCAAATGAACAACGAGCCGTAAATCGCGCACCTGTATCAATCGGCTAGGTACCATTTACTTGTAGTACCTATTTAACACCGGAAAATGCAATTAATTCCATACATGAAAGTCAAGAGCAAGGCGCCAATTAATTTCCTGTTATTTCTTCATTTCTTCACATATCGCCGTACAATGGGTGCCTCCTGGTGGTTCGCCGCTACCATTAAACCATTGTCTGTAAAACTTATGATTTTTCAATGCCTTTTTGTTCGCGCTTCATTGGCCTGCACTCATTTTAATTGAGATATTATTGTTGATCACGGGGCATTTCATTAAGAGTTAGTACTCACGTACAGGGTGCGCCAACGATAGAGTAAAGTAAGTTCAGGCTTAAGCAGAATTATGTGTTTAAAAGTATAAAATATTTTTGAATTTTTATGTAAGCTCAAAGCAAAATTTTGAACTTTATTCTGGAACAAAAAATCGAAAATTGGACTTAGTGGGGTTTTGCCCACACCATCTTAAGAACAGTATTGGGTTCGCCCCGTATCACGCTTCTGAAAGTTAAACGGGTTTTATATCGGAACGGACCTAATGATTGCATCGAAAGGTTTATCCAACTCAACCAAATAAAGTCTAGGCAAAACCGGGCGGATTTTGAGTATACGTCTATTAAGTAGTACCTACTGAAAGATTAACAAAAATGAGGAATCGATTAGTAAAGTAGTAACTAATGTAAAGAGAATTGAACGCCCGTTAAAACGATGTGCCTGTTCTAAGGGGTTGAAACAGGGCGGCTAAAAATATTAATTCTAAGTGTCCCCCTTTCGAATAAAATTGACGGGTCTTTGATTAAAAATCTATTTTAAATTCACTTTGATGACCACTTATAGGCATCCCAAATACAAAAAACTATCAAGAAAATTGTTAGTGGAAAATAAGGGTAGTTTTCCGGGAAAATGTACATACTTGAAAACTGGTCGTCTCCTAAACTGCGAAAACATAATGCTTAATTCACACCGAAAATTACATGCTTTTACAAGTTTTCATGTAGATTAAATAATTTAAGTGCGAGAAAAAAACTAAATAATAAAGAATCGGTTCGCCGCAAATCGAAAAAAAAAGTTTTTAACCCATAAACTTATGTGCTTAAATCTGGTTTTTTCTTAAAGTTGGAACTCCAAAAACGCTTTCCACCTGGTTCTTGAATGGTATTAATTTATTTTTCAAAAAAATGACTTGCCTAAAATTATTTGACGTTATATTTGACCTGTTATACAGGGTGATTCACGGTCGATGGCGTATTAGACGTTTAAGGAGAATGCGATGCCCGATCTATCTGAAAGTTTGTACAACGAAGTCTTCGGATATGCTCTATCGGCTTAAATTGTTTTCAGCAATGCGAGGGTGCCGCTTATACCGAAAAGTACAAATAACTATGATATTTTAAATGATACACCGTGTATATTAATACACGGTTAGAGTGTCTATATATATGTTATATCGAATCCACAACGAAGGTCACCTCTAAATAGGCCACTACGCAACCAATCTACAACATTGTTGCAACAAAGACGCCTTGTCTATGCAACCTCAGCAAAACATCATCCAGCCGTGATCCCACGATCCTAACCCATCGCCTAGCCAGGATCTTCGTCAGTAAATAATTCAGTTAACAAAGAAATATTCTATTCGCATACAATGTATCAAGAAAAGTAATACCTTTTACACACGAATATTTGTTTATCGCTGACCAGTCATTTTATTGTATAAAAAGGCAGACCGGTTTAGTACGATCGTTCAGAATTTTAATAGACATACAGTAACAGTCGTAATTCTTGATCCATTATTAATTAAATTTGTATAATAATAAAAAGATTGTGAAAAGTGAATAAAAAAATAGTTTTTAAAAACATTATATTTGAATCACAAATATAACATATATATTATTATTTTTGCATAACGATCCCTATACTTCCAGATAGAGATAAAAACTGCTCCAATTACATTTTTTCAAATAGAACATCCTGTATATTAGTTCAAATACGGGGAAGACCGTTAAATTCCCGGTGAAACGGTATATCATGTTTCTATACCTAAAGTGTGAAATTTCCGAAATAAATGGACATTTTTGCAAAAATTCGATTATGTCGACGTATTTATTAAAATAGCCATGAAATGTCATAATTGTTGAAGATTTTGCAATTCTTCATAAAGTTCTTAAAGAAAATCTCATTTTTGTGAACTTGTACGGATACATTGCATGCTTGATCAGGATCCTTTGAATGGGCTAACCCCAAATCATCTGCGGCACTTCGAATAGAAGCTTGAGGATATGCAGGGAAGTACGCTAAAACATTTACAATGCTGTCTTCATCAGAAGTTACAGGTTTTAGTAAGTTCGGTTCAGCTTTTAGTTTGGTGCCATAATTAAAGAAATTGTGTTTTATTTGCACAAACTTCTTTGCACTCATTTGCTTTAAATTTGGAAACTTTTCGTTGAATTTTCTGCATGTCTTTGCAACAATTTGGTCACATTGTCCATGAAGAAGAAGCAGTTTCATTAAAACTTCGTTTGAATTTGTTTATGAGTCTGAATTGAAGTTGAACTGAATGGTTGCTCTCCATTTTGTGAATAACTAAGTCTAAACTGCATTAAAAAGTGTATAAAAGCTTTCTCTATTACTTTGCTTAATTTGACAACAGGTTTGAAGAATTTCAAATGTTTAACTATTATGACATTTCATGGCTATTTTGATAAATACGTCGGCATAATCGAATTTTTGCAAGAATGTCCATTTATTTTGGAAATTTTTGAAATTTGACGTATTAGGTATAGAAACATGATATATCGTTTCACAGGGAGTTTAACCGTCTTCCCCGTATTTGAACTAATATACAGGATGTTCTATTGGAAAAAATGTAATTGGAGCAGTTTTTATCTCTATCCGAAAGCTCAGTATTTTCAAGACATCCTGTATAATTTGGAACAAACGCCGGCAACAAATTTTAAATTTACAGGGATCGAAATCGCGTTGTAATACAAGATTACTTGGGGCTACGTTTAGATTAAAAATAATGCATTTTATTAAATATTTCGGAAACCGCTTTAGATCGATATAGGAATCGTTATGCAGAAATAATAAGATCTATATCGCTAATCCAACCGTGCAATAATATACAGGGTGTCTCTTTTAAAATTGCAAAGTTGTATGTACGTTTTGGTATAAGCGGCAACCTCGCAGTGTTGAAAATATTTTAGGCCGATAGAGCATATCCGGTGACTTCGTTATACAAATTTGTAGATAGATCGTGCATCGCGTTCTCCTTAAACGTCTAATACGCCATTGAACGTGAATCACCTTGTATAATACCACCAATTTTGATCCCATTCCAACAGTGTCTCTCCAAGTCCAACAAAAATTTTACTTTAAACGTCCGTCTCGTATCAAAATTGGCGTGTTTTTCTTTTCATAACCGACCATCGGCTCCGAAAATAAAATATATTTCAATACTTTCTTTTAACTTGTAACACCCTTTCGTGTAAACCAAATTACATCATTCAATACTGCTGATGTTTGCTGATCAAACGTGGATGCATTTAATAATTATTTAGGACATACTGTATATCTGCAGAATAGTTGCGGTGATAAAATTCCGTTCAAGGACCGCATGCAGTCCATTAAGATGTAGTTGCTAAGAAAGTGAATTAACTATATTTCTGTCTGAAAAATGGTGGAATAATGATGATGATTTCAGCTGCTTGTGATCACGTTTCATATATTGATTGCGGAATCACGTTTCTTCATCTGCTTGCAATCAAGAACGTTACTTATTACTGCTGGAGCTGGTTAATTGAGGATTTAGCAAAAAAATTTTTCCACTATGTTTTTGACATTTTTTTTCATTTCTAGGCGGTGAATTGGGTAAGTGCTGCCGAACTGCTTGGATTTATCAAAGCCCCACACCGAGCAACAAGTGAGTGCAATGTTATCAAAGAAAACAATACAACGAACTAGTTTCTCTTCTTCCGTTATTATTACAGCTGACAGTTTTCTAATTAACACCACGACAAAGACTGATCGAAATCCGTTTTACCTCTCCGTAAGAACTTTCCTCGCCTTTACTAAGTAAGCTAATTAGGAGCCAATCAATTAGTGAAGGGCTCGAAGCAACGAACGACAACAAAGTAATGCCGGGTACTTTTTCAAGTACCCGAAGGAAGTTGCTAAAAAACATTTGCCTGAACCAATAGAAAGTCGTTCTTATACAGCCAACTAATGATATTCGATTTGATTACTGTCCTGACCTCTCTAGGAAGTAAGTTAACACTTGTCGTACCCAATTTACCAGAACGGCTGTACCGTCACACCCAGGGGTTAAACTTTGCAGAGAAAGTACCGCGATTTATTATCTTCTCCCATAACTTTATCTTGGTTGCTCAAGAAGATCATACTGGTTCCAGTGGCGTGCCAAGCCACCCTTCTCCTATTCGAGCCCATTAATAAAGCAATCAAGAGGTAACTAACCTCGAACGCCATTCAATTATGAAGCGGCAAAAACAGTGATACAATCACGTAAGCACGATAAGTAAGAAAAACTTCGAAAAAGCAATTGTTGATTGTTGTCTGTCGGTGGGTTCGAGAACATTCAATCTATAGAGGCGTAAAAACGAACGGGAATTTGATCAATTTGATTAGCGTGCACGTAGAAATCTGCAGAATTGTAAATAGTACCTGTAGAGGTGAAGTTATTAAGGTGGCCACTATGTCGGCCAGATTTGGTATTGACGGATTTTTTCTCACATCACCAGCTGGCCGATATTTTCATTACTTTACATACAGCTAATTAATATGTATATTAAAAGATACAAAAAAACCCGAGCATAATTAACGCTTATTTAAATACAATCAATAAAATATGGGTCAGCACTTCATCTAATATGCGTATCTCTTCACTTCGAGGAAACTGGACCAATGCAATTTCGAATTATTAGTGTGGAACGCTTTACATCATTGTAGTCTAATCAATAAGCGAACAATTGTTTATAACAAATTTAATCGGCATGCTTTGAAAGTGTCTCCATTGCGTCGCACTTTTCCCGTTTTAATCGTTCAGTTTTTTTTAATTGGAACAGGAAAACGGCATTTAAATGTAATAAACAAATCTGGCCCATCATGTTTGGTTCACACAGAATCGGAATCCTTTGCATAAGAGCCAGATAGATATCTTGTCGACTCACAATTATGGGAAATAATTACAAGTGGAAAAAAGATGTTTTGTAGTCGAAATTTGCTTCGGCTAGATCAGATAAGGTCAGCTTTTACTTTTTTTGTGAAAACGAACGTATTTGATTCAGTTTTTCCGCCGAAATATGTTAGATATCAATCAGGAGATTAAGCAAGAAGAAGTGTTAGTATCTAATTCTGTTTAGTGAATTTTGAAAAAATTCAGAAGTTGCGCAATTTTTATTTTGTATTTTAAAAAAGACCTAAGTGCGAAATATATTAACCAAAAAATTTCAGACAGACATATTTGATATGGATCAAAAGACGTTAGAAACTGAAATTATAATTTTTCAAACTGGTTTAATTTTACAGACTAGAAAACTTATATGTGAATATTGATTGTTCATACTTCAAGCTAAGGAAGACTAAGCAACGTTCTGCCTTGACTCATTTCCATACTGAAAACTATTATTTTTATCCCGATATACATACACCTAATTATGATTCCTTGGTTAGAAACATGCAAATTCCGATGCCCAAAATCAGTATTCCTTCTAATATTAAAACAACAAAGTAAATTGTAAATCTGTCTTTATTTGTAGCTACTTACAATGAATAAAATAAACTCTTTTCTACAAGTTATTTTTATTTTTTTTATTGTAAGCCTGTTTGTATTACCGTTGCTGTTCAGTGAGCTATTGATAGATTTGTAGAAAGCAAGTCATATTATTCTTTCATGATTTTCTTTTCCAGGCCCAAAAAAAACGGGAAAGCATTTTTATATTTGCTAATAACTATATCCGTGCCCAAACATCCCTTCAATATTTTTTAACAGCAAACAATTTTCCAGATTTATTTGTTGTCGCTCATCTTTAAAAATGTGGGTAATTTATTTCTTTGTTGGTTTTGGACAATTCTTTAACTTTTCTATGGATCTTAAAACTTTGGTTTTTGACTTGGGGGTTCCACAATCTTATCACACTTTTGTTAGGCGTAGTTTCCCTTTGCTTTCGTGACCTTAGCGCATATTACTCGTTGTGATTCTTTGTATTATAGCTATTGTTGTTTATTTTTTCCTTTCAGTTTTCTTCCTTTATCCATACGGTTTATTTTATTTTTCGAGTTTTGTTGGATATTCATTTTTTCGTTTCGATACTTATATTGATTTCGTCACACGTTTGCTTCTAGTAGTTTTGCAATCGTTTTCCTGATCGTTGCGCAAAGCACTTGTTTCGATTCATTGCAATGTTGTTTATTTTTACTTTTACTTTTCTTTTTTTATTCATAAGAGAAACAATTTTATTGGATATCCATTCTTTCTTTTCTGTAATAAGTATTATCTTTTTAATATACCTATTAACATTTCCTAAGTCCGCAGTTTATTTTGAATAAAATTGCAAACAACTTAGAGTTTCTCTGCAAAACTCATTTATGTTACTACTTATGGATGCTGATATATTTTTATTCCTTTCTTGCAACACTTCAAAAAAGTCTTCCCACATTGAATTATGCGAAATAATGTGTTTTTTCTCTCTATTGATTATTCCTCAATATATTGTTCCGCAAAAGAAGAGCTTTTTCATCCCCCATGTTTTTTAAACACTGAAAGACCTGAGCTACATTTCTTGTTTTCTGCTATTGATGTTTTCGTTTACTGCTTATTTATTTCGCTGTGTGTGTTTAACTATAATTAACTCTCATTTTTCCGCTCATATTTCTCCTCTTCTACTGAAGAAGATCCATATTCCAAAACATACTTATCCGACTGAATTCCCATGTGACACCAAATGCGAGCCGCATCAAAAGTAAACGCATTTCGTTTCATCATTGGTGTGTTTTCTATTTGAAAAAAAATGAATGTTATTAGCACACAAACAAACCGGCAATTAGCAAATATTTGCGCACTTTCTGTTAATAGATTTTACGTAACGCCAACAATCAAAGTAGTACCCGCAGGCTGGGTAAAAGGTTCTGATCATTTTTTTCTCTCAATCATTGTCTCTTCACGAAATTAGAATGTTTTCGCTTTCGCTCTCCATTGTTTACACGGAAAAGCAATTTGGGGTGGTCTTTAGACCTGGAGGGCATTTGTAATGGTCAATTACTATATCATCGATGAATGACTGTTGGAAGCTGGAATTTGGCAATCACCAATTTTTATTTTAAAATTGTTGGTGTACAATAGGAAAATAAAGTCAAATTAAGAAGATAGTTTTAGATGTAGGCTAAACTCACTATCAACTAGCCAACCACAACCAATTGCGCATCTGTTAAGCCATCTACTTTTGCAAGACCTTATTTTGGCTCTAAGGTTTCCTTAGAACCTTCTGAACACGTTTAGGTTATTTTGCGCCTAATAATGTATTTATTTACCATTTTTTATATTACTTTATTTTATTTTTTGCTTAATTTTTTTGATATTTGCGAACAATATGTAAAAAAATGATAAGGAAGTTAGTTTCATTAAAACATTTTATCCATTCTTTTTTTCCAAGGGGAATTGTGAACAAACAAATGCAGGTTTTGTGACAATGAAAATTCAGATCAATTAAGGGAAGATTCTACTAAAATTTCCGCGCAAAGTAAACGTCTGAGCAGGAATGATATGAAACCAAAAACATCTTCACTTTTTAACGGATCAACGTTGAAAATCAACGGAAGAAAATAACAATTTTCTCATCGCCGATTTTGACCAAGTTAATACGAGCTTATAACGTCAAATTAATAAATTGTCAAATATTTCGTCTATTAATATTTCCGTCTGAATATGACACAACTTCTTTTCCACCGTCTGATGTAACTTTTTGTCATGATTTGATAGAGAATTTTATTCGCTTTAAAATGATTGGATCTGCCATTTGAAATTAAATTAAAATTAAACTTTAAACACACTAAATATACAATATTTTTTGTATAGTATTTTATGTACTTATTTGCGAAAACTGTGTCTTATTTAAATGGAAAGTGAATTAAATTCCTAGTTGTTCAAATGCACTTTGATGATGGTCAATACACATTGGTATTCGTCTTTTGTGATTTTTTATAACATCTAATAGAGTTCGTTTGAAATTTTCATTAAATGCATTCATAATCAGGTTCATTTGTTCCTATTTGCTTCATACCATTTGAGTTCTTCATGACATGGCTGATAGTTAAGAAGACGCTTATTGGACCGATTTTAAGAAAAACTTTTTATGAACGTATGTCACAAACGTCCAAACTTTTGAGAAACAGAGTGAAAGAGAGTTTCCAGAACCTTGTTCAGAAACCATGGTTCATAATGATACTTTTTAAGAATCTCCATGAAATTTAGTACACGTCTTCAACGCCTCAAGGTGCATTTTTTATGTGCAAACATTTGTATTATTTTTAGAAGTGGCGTCCTTACGAGCATCGCATGGAATGTTATTGGAACACAAAACAATACGTCCCTAATTTCTCTTAAAATAAAATTATTTTTGAAATTCTCATTTATTTCTCAGAAAATTTGATCTTTTGATCATTTGACGGATGGTTTTCGCTCAAAAAAATAAAATATTTTTATTTCAGAAAAGGTGGTAACTGTAGAATGCGAGTTGCTTATATACCTATGGGCTGAAAGAAAATTTTGTTGATTAGATTTGTTCAAAAATTATTGAAAATTATGCAATTTTTCCAAGTAAGAAAAATTCTAATAATTTTTAAAACCATCTTAGTGT